AGACCTTTCAGATTAGAGCATCTGCAATCGACAACTGCAGCACGAGAAACAGCAACAGCAGCAGCAGCAACAGCAGCAACAGCAGCATAGCTGTCCGCGAGCTTCGCAGCAACAGCAGCAGCGCCCACTGGATCTGCAGCAGCAGCAGCAGCAGCAGCAGCAGCAGCAGCAGGAGCAGCAGGCGTCCCTCTACCTCTGCAGCAGAGATTTGACTTCGAATAAATTCTTCAGTTATCCGTTTAGATCTTTGCTGCAGTTCCCCGCAGCGTGAGCTGCTGCTGCTGCCTCGCTGCTGCCACCTCCGCTGCTGCTGCTGCTGCTGCTGCTGCTGCAGCTCTCGGTGGTTCTGGGGCGTTTCGGGGCGGAATTTTCTGCTTTTTTCGCGGGCTGCAGCCTTTCTCGAGTTCCCCGCGAGCGCTGCGGAGCAGCAGCAGCAGCAGCAGCAGCAGCAGCAGCAGCAGCAGCAGCAGACCCCGCAATGCAGGCAGCGCCGCTGCTCGCCGGCCGCGGCCGCCCCCAGCGGCTCGCCCCCGAAGTCTCCCGCATTCTTTACGTGCGAAATTTGCCGTTCAAAATTAACGGCGAAGAGCTGTACGACGTTTTTGGCAAATACGGGTCTATTCGGCAAATCCGCAGGTGCTGCTGCTGCTGCTGCTGCTGCTGCTGCTGCTGCTGCTGCTGCTGCTGCTGCTGCTGCTGCTGCTGCTTATGCTGCTGCTGCTGCTAATGCTGCTGCTGCTGCTGCTAATGCTAATGCTAATGCTGCTAATGCTAATGCTGCTGCTGCTAATGCTGCTGCTGCTGCTACGGAAGATGCTGATGATTGTTATTGGGCTTTGCTGCTGCTGCTGATAATGCTGCTGATGTTGTAAATGGTGGCATTGATGGTGGTTTGCTGCTGCTGCTGGTATCCTCGTTGCATGTGCTGCTGCATTGCTTGCTGCTGCTGCTCTTGCTGCTCTTCTCGCCGCGCTGCAGCTGCTCCTGCGCCCCTTTGCATTTGCTGCTGCTGCTGCTGCTGCTGCTGCTGCTGCTGCTGCAGGGGAACTTCGCCAGCCACGAGGGGAACAGCTTTTGTGGTGTATGATGACATCTATGACGCAAAAGCTGCTGTAGATCAGCTGTCTGGATTTAATGTTGCAGGAAGGTAATTGCTGCTGCTGCTGCTGCTGCTGCTGCTGCTGCTGCTGTTTGCTTCTGCTGCTGCTGCTGCTGCTGTTTGTTTTTTTCCTTTTTTTCTTTCTTTTCTTCTTCCTTTTTGCCTCTTTTGGCTGCTGCTGCTGACAATTTTGCTGGCTTGCTGCTGCCCAAGTGCTGCTCTTTGTCGCCTCCTTGCTGCTGTCTTGCTGCTGCTGCTGCTGCCGCTTCGCTACTTGCTGCTGCTGCCGCTGCTGCTGCGCTACTACTAGTGCTGCTGCTCTTGCCGCATCTGCTGCTGCTACCTTGCTGCGACACCAGCTGCTGCTGCATCTGCTGCTGCTACACCTGCTGCTGCTGCTGCTACACCTGCTGCTGCTGCTGCTGCTACATCTGCTGCTGCTGCTGCTGCTGCTGCTGCTGCTGCAGGTACCTGGTGGTGCTGTACTACAACCCCACAAAGGCGCAGCAGCGGAGAGATGCCCTTGAGGCTAAAGAGACTTTGGAGCGGCTGCGGGCCAACAATTACCAGCCAACAAAAATATAATTAATTTAATTAAATTAATTAAATCAATTAATTAAATTAATTAAATTAATTAATTAAATTAATTACTTTAATATTTAATTAATTCTTAAATTGCCATTCGTAGGCGTGAGTAGCAGCGGAGGGAACGAAATACTCTGTTCACAGCAGCAGCAGCAGCAGCAGCAGCAGCAGCAGCAGCACCTGGACCGCAGCAGCAGCAGCTACAGCAGCAGCAGCAGCTGTGGCAGCAGCGGCAGCAGCTGTAGCTGTAGTAGCAGCGGCAGCATCTGCTGTTTGCTGCAGCAGCAGCTGTAGCTGTTGCAGCAGCAGCAGCAACTGCAGCAGCAGCAGCAGCAGGAAGGCTTTTCTTTGTCAGAGCACAAGGCTGCTGCGGTGTACGTACACCGCAGCGAGGAGCTGCAGGTCTTTGGAACAAAAAATAAATAAAAATGCCATTCTTGTTTTAGATATTTATTTTGAACTGTCTTATTAAATAAATAGATTAAAAAGTAATTAATTTAAAAAATAAGTTCAAATAGTTTTGAGTAGCAGCAGAATTAATTATGTTCAGCTTAAGTGCTGCAGCATATCAGCAGCAGCACGAATGACAGCAGCAGCAGCAGCAGCACAAATAGCAGCAGCAGCTGCTGCACAAATAGCAGCAGCAGCAGCAGCAGCAGCAGCAGCAGCAGAGAGCAGGAGCGCCCAAGACGGGAAGTGCTGCGAACGGCGGAAAGGGAATTTGAAGTCGCTTTGATTTTAAAACTTCAAAAAAAGAAATAAATTTATATAAAGTTGTCTAAAGTTTTAAATCAAAATAAAATAAATTTATAAAAAGTTTTTAAAGTTTTAAATCAAAAGAAATCCTTTTCGCCTGCCTCAGCCTGCAAGCCAGAAACTGGAGTGTACGTACACCTCAAATAATGCAATTGCTGCGCATATATGTATAAATTGGAGTGTACGTACACCCCAAATAGTGCAACTGCTGCAGCACATAAATGCATTAATTTGAGTGTACATACACCTCAAATGGAACAAATGGTCCACTTACTTGCCATAAATATATAAATTGGAGTGTACGTACACCCCAAACAACGCAATTGCTGCACATAAATATATAAGTTGGAGTGTACGTACACCCCAAATGGAGCAAATGGTCCACTTGCTGCACATGAAAGTACGAATTGGAGTGTACGTACACCTCAAATAGAGCAAAAGACGCGTCAAGTTGGGGTGTACGTACACCCCAATTGCAAGGCAGGGAAGTTGGAGTGTACGTACACCCCGAAAAGAAGAAAACAAAACCTAAAAATGTAAAAGAGGAAATATTTCATTAAATGAAAATGTTCTAAAAGTTTTAAATTAAACTAAAGAAAGTACTTCTCGAAAAGGCTAGACTAGGGCAAATGACTGCGCTCACTGGGCCGGAAACTAAAAGATGAATTGATGAATTTGGAAGGAAATTGATGGAATTTAAAGCGAACTTCCGGACTTTTATGATCTAAATAAACAGAACTTCGCAATTAAAGCAAAAAGGGGGAAAAAGAAAATAAAAAAAATCCAAAGTTGGGCGAAAAAGCACAAAAAAGAGAAAACTGGAGATTTCGGCCACTGGGTTCAAGTGTACATACACACGAATTTCACCACTGAAGAATAAAACTTTCTATTTATTTGAAAGGCGCAAACCCCCAAAACTGTGCCCTAGAAAAACCCAAAAGGCCCCCTGTGGGGCCCCCAGGGGGCCCCCATGGGGGCCCCCTTTGGGGGCCCTTGAGGGCCCCATGGGGGCCCCTTTTAGAGGCCCTTGGGGGCCCGGGCCCCCCAGAGGGGGGCCCCAGGTGACCCTAAGTCTCCAGGGGGGCCCCCAGGGGCCCCTCTAGGGACCCATTGGGGGCCTCGGGGGCCCCAGGGGCCCCTTTTAGGCCTTTTTTAAACTCCCTTGGGGCCCCCCCTTAGGGTACCCTTTTTAAAGTCCCACAGGGGCCCCCTGGAAGGGTTCTGGGGCCCCCAAGGGGCCCCCAACCCCCCAAAAGAATCTCTCAAACCCTTCCGGGCCCTTGGGGGCCCCCAAAAGCCCGCGGCACGTTTCTAGTGGGGCCCCTGGGCCCTCCAAGGGGCCCCCAAGGGGCCCCCAAGGGCCCCCAAGGGGCCCCCAAGGGCCCCCAAGGGGCCCCTAGGGGGCCCCCCTCCATCTGCATCCCTGGGGCCTCCTTTAAGTCTGTTTGCACCTATGAAAGGCCACAAGTTGGTTAGTGAGCGCTGAACAAACTAAAAGAGTTTTTGAAGTTTTAATTTTTGAAGTTTTGATTTTTGAAGTTTTGATTTTTGAAAGTTTTGATTTTTAAATGAATTTGAAGTGCCTTTTGCTACTAAGAGCCGCAGCGGCAGCAGCTAGAAGTACTTGGGCGGCCTTGGCGGGAAGTCCGGGGCGCGGGGCAGGTCTGCTGCTGCTGCTGCTGCTGCTGCTGCTGGTGCTGCAGGCGCTGCTGCTGCTAGAGTTGCTGCTGCGGCTGCTCTGGCCGCTGCTGCAGCAGCAGCTGGGTGGGCTGCTGCTGCTGCGCGTTGCTGCTGCAGGCTGGAGAGGAACTGCAGCAGGCCAACAGCAGCAGCAGCAAGAGCAACGAGCGCAGCAGTGTTGGCGGCCCTGTTTTGCTGCTGCAGCGAGTCTGCTGCTGCTGCTGCAGCAGAGGGGCCCCTGAGGGCCACCAGCAGCGCCAAACCCAGCAGCAAAAAGCCCCGCAGCGGGAGGGGCCCCAGGGGGGCCCCCCGCCGCCGCACCAGCTGCTTCCTGTACCCTGTCAGCAGCAACTCGAGGGCCCCTGCTGCAGCAAAAAAGACTGACAAGAGAGAGATTGCTGCTGCCCAGTTGAGCCGCAGCAGCGGGGGAAGGGCCCCGTTGGCCACTCTGTTGAGTTGGGCCAGCTTTTCCTGCAGCAGCAGCTGCTCGCCAGTCCGCGGGTCTTTGCTGCTGCTGCTGCTGACCAGCAGCAGCAGCAAACCCAGCCCCACGCCCAGCAGCAAAGTCTTCAGCCCCCGCAGCGGCACTGTCTTCACCAGCTGCTCCACGGCCTCCTTGCTGCTGCTGCTGTCTGCGGCCGCTGCTGCTGCGCTGCTGCGCCCGCCCTCCACCTCTGCTGCTGCTGCTGCTGCTGCTGCTGCTGCTGCTTCCGGGTAGTAGAACTCGCTCTCAGCAGCAGCAGACTCGCTTGCTGCTGCTCGCAAAGACTCAAACGGGCCCAGGGCCCCCAGGCCCCCCAGGGGCCCCGTCGAGGGGCCCTCAGGGTACGGGTAGAAGCCCAGGGGGGCCCCCCCCGCCAGCTGGGGGGCCCCCCAGAAGCAGCAGCAGCAGCAGCAGCACAGCAGCAAACTGGCAGCCCTTGCCCCCCGGATCCCGCTGCTGCGCTTCATTGCTGCTGCCGCTGAGGTGTACGTACACCTGGGAGTCCCCGCGAGTTTCGATTCTCTCCAGTTTCCAAAAAACCCGAAAAGAGCCTTCAGCGAAACTCCAAAAGGGCGTTAAATGGCCAAAGAGAACAAAAAGAACTAATTGCAGCTTCTAAAAAGAATAAAAACCAATTAACTGCAGCCTGGCGAACAATTTAAACGGCTTTTAAGGGGAGCAGCAGCAAAAGCAGCAGCAACAGCAGCAGCAGCAGCAGCAGCAGCAGCCCCAGCTCGCGAGACACCGCGAGCGGTGCCGCCCAATGGTCCTGTGCAGCTTTTTGTCTTTTCGTGTATATACACTCCAATTTGCTTCGTCTCTGTTATTATTTTAAAATTAATTCATTTTTATTTTTAATTAAACTTAAAACGAAAGAAAAAGACGCCTGCAGCGAGAAATGGGGCCTGGTCCACTGCTGCTGCTGCTGCTGCTGCTGCGGCTGCTGCTGCGAGGGCTGCTGCTGCTGCTGCTGCTGCGAGCTCTGCTTCTTCTCCTGCTGCTGCTTTAAATAGGAATGTTTTAAACAATTAATGATCTGCCAGGCCTTAGTAAAGCCGGCAGCAGCAGCAGCAGCAGCAGCAGCAGACACGGCATCTGCAGCTGTACAGGAATCGAGGCAGCAGCATCGAAGCAGCAGCAGCAACAGCAGCAACAGCAGCAGCAGCAGCAGCAGCAACGTTCCCTTAGACCGCAAATGCAAAATAAAAACAAAAAGTTGTTGTGCACACACAAGACATGAGGCGTGTGTGCCAGACTTCTAGGGTTTAGGGTTTAGGGTTTAGGGCTTAGGGCTTAGGCCCAAGGGTTTAGCGTGGAAGGCTCCTTGGGGTTTAGGGTTTAGGGTTTAGGGTTTAGGGTTTAGGGTTTAGGGTTTAGAGGGCTTAGAAGGTAAGGGGTAGGAGCTGCCCCTATAAAACAAAGCCTACTTTAAATACAAATACAAAATAATGCATGCATGCGTTGATAAGCATTTAATTAAAATAAAAATAAAAAACAAATTAAAAAGAAATTAAAATAATTAATCTTTATTTTTATTTAAATCAAATTTTTTTAAATGGAGCTTTTGCCAGCTGTGCCAGGGCCACGGGGGCCCCTCAGATTAAATAAATAAATAAATAAATGAAATTAATTAATTAAAATTAATTAAATTTAATTAAATTAATTTAATTTAATTAAATTAAACAATTCAATTCATTTGATTGTTTAATTTGCATTTGTCTTTTTTGTCTTTTTGGAAATTCACAAATTTCCTTTTTCTGTTTTTAATATTTATTAAATGTTTATTTGAAAAATTTTATTTTTAATAATTTTATTATTCATTTATTATAATGTTTGTATTTGATGATAAAATATATTTAAATATATGCTTGCAGAAAATTCATTATCTATTTATTATTTATACTTCTTAATAATATATTTAAAACATATTTAATATTATATTTTAGTAATATTTATTTATCTATTATCTATTAACCACATATATAATAATTGTATTATATTTAAAATAAATTTTTATTTAATTTACTAAAAATGCAATAAGTATATCTGGAAAATTATTTATTTATTAAACATGTTTTAATAGTATTTTAATGTTTTATTTCTCACGCATTTACTAAAAGGATAAAGTTATAATAAATAATTAAAAATAAATCATTTAATAAATGCATAAAGATGAAAATATATTTTAAAAACTTGAAAGAAAATTAAATGCTAATTGGGGTGTACGTACACCGCGCGGTGTACGTACACCTCACTGCGGTGTACGTACACCTCACGCATGCATTTCTGGTTGCGCGAAAAGTGCAAAATAGCGCCAAAAGAAATACTTTTTGCGGCATAAAAAGCCAAAAATGAAAAACTTTTGTAAAATTAAACCATTTTATTTTATTTGTAGTTCTTTTAAACAAACTTTTCCACTTTTCGCAGTTCTCGCTGCATGCAGATTTGCATGCGAGTGCGGGGCCCCTCAAATTAGGTCATTTGAAAGGTTATTTGGACCTCTTTTTTTCCTTTTTTCGAATCTAATAATGAAATAAAATCGTTTATGCATCTACATCTTTTCTTTCCAACTACAAGCTACTTAATTCACAACTTAATTCATATTAAAGTAAACATCTGCATTTATGCAAGGGCGCAGAAAGGCTCGGTCGCAGACAAGTGACCCTCTGGGGCACTGGGGCCCCTACTGGGGCCCCCCGTGGGGCCCCCAAATGGGGCCCCCCGGGGGGCCTTCAAGAGGGGCCCCCAGTGGGGCCCCCGGTGGGCCCCTAACCCTCTGGGGCCCCTCGACTCTCGGGGCCATCCAAACCCCTAAGGGGCCCCTGGGCCCTCAGGGGGCCCCCAGCTGCGCCTTCAGGGGGTCCCTAGGCCCCCAAGAGGGTCCTCTAGGGGCCCCCAGATCCCCAAAAGGGTCCTTTAGGGCCCCCCAGGCCCCTAAGAGGGGCCTCTAGGGGCCCCCGGGGCCCCAAGAGGGTCCTGTAGATCTACCGGGGGCCCCACACTAGCCACTGGGGGCCCCCTGGATCTCACTTGTAGCGTACCCTAGGCCCCCTGGGGGCCCCTAGCTAGATTTCCTGGGGGCCCCCAGCTAGACCCTGTGGGGGCCCCTAGCTAGATTTCCTGGGGGCCCCTAGCTAGACCCTGTGGGGGACCCTAGCTAGACCCTGTGGGGGCCCCTAGCTAGACCCTGGGGGGGCCCCCAGTTAGACCCTCTGGGGGCCCCAGCTAGACCCTGTGGGGGCCCCTAGCTAGGCCTTGAGGGCCCCCGGGGGCCCCTGGGGGCCCCTGGGGGCCCCTGAAGCTTCTAATTAGATTAAATGCATTTCTTTTGAATGTTTGCTGCAGCAGTTTGTGGGTCTCTGTCTTCTTTTGTTTCTCTTGGTTTTGCTGCTGTGCCTGTCTGCTGCTGCTTACTTCGCTGCGCTGCTGCTGCTGCTGCTGCTGCTGCTGCTGCTGCTGCTGCTGCTGCTGCTGCTGCTGCTGCTGCTGCTGACTGCTGCTGCAGTTTGCCCTAGGCTGCCACTACGCAGCCCCCCGAGGCAGCTGAGGCCTAGGGTTTAGGGTTTAGGGTTTAGGGTTTAAGAACTTGGTTTACTGTTAAGATGAGCCAGCTAGCTGCTGCTGCTGCTCCTTTCCTTATGGATATAAAACTCAAAAAGCAACGTTGTAAGAGAAGCAGCAACCTCTGCACCTGCCCCTCACCCACCTGCTGCTGCTGCTGCTGCTGCTGCTGCTGCTGCTGCTGCTGTCCAGCTTTTGACGCTGTGGTTCCCTTTTAGGGTTTAGGGTTTATCTTTTGAGGGTTTTGAAACCCTCAGACTCTTCCGTGCGCACAAACTCGGCTAAGGCTGGCGCAAGAGCAGCAGCAGCGGCAGCAGGAGCGGCAGCAGCAGCAGCAGCAGCGGCTGTTGCTGCTGCTGCTGCTGCTGCTGCCGCTGCTCCAGCTACTAATGCTGCTGCTGCTACTTCTGCCAATGCCGCTGCCACAGATAATGCCACTGCTACTGCCCCTGCCGTGACTGCTGCTGCAGCCAGCGCTGCTGCTGCTGCTGCTACTGCTGCTGCTGCTGCTGCTGCTGCTGCTGCTGCTGCTGCTGCTCCAGCCTGGGCCTCTGCTGCAGCAAATCGGCGCTAGCTGCAGGGGCCCCTAAAGTGCTGCCCTTCGTTGCGAATAATGCCGATGATGCCAGCAGCTGCAGCAGAAGCAAAATGAGAAAAAAGAAAAAATAAAAAACTAAATAAAACAAAAATGAATCAAAAAAGAAACAAAATGAAACTAAAAAGAAAATACGATGCAAGGAAAAGGGTCAAACTTCCACCAAACAGAAGTCAAAATGAAGTGCAAACTACTGCTGCTGCTGCTGCTGCTGCTTCTGCTGCTGCTGCTGCTGCTGCTTCTGCTGCTGCTGCTGCTGCTGCTGCTTCTGCTGCTGCTGCTGCTGCTGCATGAGGCTTACCAACCATACAGCCCATGGAACCGAAAATAATTATAATTAGAAACAACACCACTAAATTGTCAGCTTTGTACTTGCTGACCTGTACGTACACCCCAAACACCGCATGCACGCAGCAACCCGCTCAACCAGCAGCAGCAGCAGCAGCAGCAGCAGCAGCAGCAGCAGCTTTAATTGCCGCACCCGCAGGAATATCAACAACATCAGCAGCAGCAAAGGTAGTAGCTTTCGCAGCAGCAACAGCAGGCCCAGCAGCAGCAGCAACAGCAGCAGCTCTAGCAGCAGCAGAAAGCTATCAGCAACAGAAGCAGCAGCACTAGCAGCAGCAGCAGCAACAGCGGCAGAAAAACAGCAGCACCAGCCACCGCAGCAGCAAAAAGGCAACTCCGACCCATCTATCGAAAAGACACTTTCCTAGCCAGCAGCAGCAGCAGCACAAGCAGCAGCAGCAGCAGCAGCACAAGCAGCAGCAGCAGCAGCAGCACAAGCAGCAGCAGCATCAGCAGCACAAGCAGCAGCAGCAGCAGCAGCAGCAGCAGCAGGAACTGACAACTTTATCGACAAGGGACTTTCCGAGAAGGCCGCATGCGAAGCAAAGCGCGAAAAGAGCAGCAGCAGCATCCCAAGGAGCAGCAGAGGTGAGGATACACCTGAAAGCTGCGGAGCTGCTGCTGCACAAAACCAGCAGCGTGTTAACTGCTGTACATACACTCGGCAGCATTTCCCGTGTCAGCATCAAAGGCCCCAGGACCAAAGAGCTGCCGATGCCCACAGTCCCAGCTGCAGCAGCAGCAGCAGCAGCAGCAGCAGCAGCGCAAATGCAGCAGCAGCGGGAGCAGCAGCAGCAGCAGCGCAAATGCAGCGGCAGCGAGAGCAGCAGCACTGGAGGCGGAGACGCAGCAGCAGCAACAGCACGAGTGCAGCAGCAGTCGCAGAGGTCGCAGCAGCAGCAGAAATGCAGCAGGAGTCGCAGCAGCAGCAGCAGCAGCAGAAGCAGCACGGAAGCAGCAGCAGTAGCAGCAGATAGGCAACAGCGATGCACTAGGATGCAGGCAAAGCAGAAATAGCAGCTGCAGCAGCACAGATGCAGCAGCAGCACAAACCACAACAGCAAACACGGAGCAGCAGCAGCAGCAGCAGCAGCAGCAGCAGCAGCAGCAGAAGCAGCAAATGTAGGAGCCAGCGTTGCGTATTTTGTATTAAAAGAGGAAAATGAAATGAGCAGATAAGAAAATTGGAGAGACAAATAATGAATTTAATTGTTTAAATTCATTTTAATTAATTTAAATTTAATTAATTAATTTATTTCATTAAATGGATTATTTTGTTTTCCTACAAATAAGCCCCGCGAGAATTGTCTGCAAAAAGAAACAGAGAACGGTCTTCTTGTCATAGTGCAAGTCCCCCGGTGCTGCTGCTGCTGCTGCTGCTGCTGCTGCTGCTGCTGCTGCTGCTGCTGCGTCTCTGCTGCGCTGCAGGCGGTAGAGATTCAGGCCTTGGACCAGCGAGCACAGCAGCAGCAACAGCGAAGACAGGAAAAACAGAACCCAGTAGCTGCTGCCGCAGTAAGGAACCTGAAGCAGCAGCAGCAGCAGCAGCAGCAGCAGCAGCAGCAGCAGCAGCAGCAGCACACCGACAGCATGCATACCCTTTGCTGCTGCAGCAAGCAGCAGCAAGCTCGAAAAGGCAAAAAAAAACCAAAAAAAGGGGAAAAAAGATGAGAATAAATTGGAAAGGAGGGAGCAAAGATATAGAAAAAAAAAGAAAAAAAGGAAAAAAGAAAAAGGAGAAAAGAAAAAAAGAAAAAAAGCAAAAAAGAAAAAAAAGCCAAAAATGGCCAAACTCGCCAAAAAAAGAGCCAAAAAGGGGAAAGGAAGGGGAAAAGAAGAAGAAAAAATAAAAGAATAAAAAGAAATAAAAGAAATAAAAATAAATAAATAAATAAATAAATAAATAAATAAAATAATAAAAAGATATAAAGGGATTAAAAAAAATAAAAACAAAAAAGAAATAAAAGGCAAAAAAGGCCCAAAAAGGCTAAAAATGAGCCAAAAAAAGGGGAGAAAAGAACAACCAAATGAACAAAAAGAAACCGAAAAGAAATAAATGAAAAAGAATCAAAAAAGAATTAAAAAGAATTAAAAAGAATTAAAAATAAATAAAATAAAATAAAACAAAATAAATTAAATTAAAAAAAGAAATATAAACTCACCAGCTGCAGGGGGAAGCCTTTGCCGCCCCTGACGACTCCGAGGGCCAAATCGGCGGACCAAATTGCCGCGACAATAAACCACTTCTGGAATAAATAAATAAATAAATAAATAAATAAATAAATAAATAAATAAATAAATAAATAAATAAATAAATAAATAAATAAATAATAAATAAATAATAAATAAATGAATAAATGAAGTTTGTTGTTCACTTGTCAGTTTTCTCTTTGCTGAAAAAAGGAGAAAATGCAAATTAAAAACGAGGGAATTAAAGAAAGCAAAAAGACAAAACGGAGATTTAAAAGTCCCAAAAAGATTTAAAAGAAATAAAAAAGAGAAAATAAAAAAGAGAAACAAATAAACCAAAAAGGTCCAAAAAAAAGATTCAAAAAGATCCAAAAAGATCCAAAAAAGATTCCAAAAAGTAAAAAAGAAATTAAAAAATAAATAAAAATTAAAAAATTAAAAAGAAATAATGCATGTGTCTGACCATGAGTTGGTGTCTCTTCTGCATTTCTCGAAATCTTTTGGAATTCCTTTTAAAACTTCTTTCTTTTAATTTAATTCTCTTTTCCTTCATTTCCTTCATATCCGCAGCAGCAGCAGCAGCAGCAGCAGCAGCAGCAGCAGCAGCGCTCCCCACCGCCCCCTCGGGGGGCCCCCAAGGAGACAAAGGCCTTGCTGCTGCTGTTGCTGCTGTTGCAGTTTCTGCAGCAGCAAATTCCGGCTCCAGCTGCGTCTCTTTTTCTTCTTCACTTTCCCCACTTTCCTTCACTCGCAGCACCAGGGGGCCCCCCGGGGGCCCCCCTGGGGGCCCCCCTGGGGGCCCCCCTGGGGGCCCCCCTGGGGGCCCCCCTGGGGGCCCCCCTGGGGGCCCCCGCGGGGGCCCCCCTCGGGGCCCTTTAGGGAGAAACCCAGGGGCCCTTCTGGGGGCCCCCCTGGGGGCCCCCAAGGGGGCCTCTCCAGGGGGCCCCCCTGGGGGCCCCCTGGGGGGCCCCTGGGGGGGCCCCGGGGGGGCCCCACTGGGGGGCCCCTCGGGGGGCACGGGGGTACCCTCGTTAACAGGCCCACAACTGCCTGCTGCTGCTGCTGCTGCTGCTGCTGCTGCTGCTGCTGCTGCTCACAACACGGCGCAAAGAGAATATGATGAAGGGCCTCAGCACTTTGGAGGGTTTGGTTTTAAAAGAATAAATAAAAATAAAAATAAAAAAGAAATAAAGAAATAACAAAAATAAAAAGAGGCAAACCTTTGTCTGCGCAGCAGCAGCAGGCAATTATGAGAGAAGCAGCAACGAGGAGCAGGAACTAAATGCAGCAGCAGCAGCAGCAGCAGCAGCAGCAGCAGCAGCAGCAGCAGCAGCAGAAACAAAAACGAGTAAGAGCGCTTTACCTCTCGTGCAGCAGCTGTCACTTCCCCGCAGCAATTCACCAGCAGGAGTATGCCTTGCTGCTGCTGCTGCTGCTGCTTCACACTGGCGCTGCTGCTGCAGCTGCTGCAGCTGCTGCAGCTGCTGCAGCTGCTGCTGCAGCTGATGCTGCTGGGTTGTGCCAAGCTCCTGGAGGCCTTCTGCTGCGGCCAGCTGCAGCAGGGGCTCTGCGTGTTTGTTTTTGTCCGCGGCCTCGGCCGCAGCCGCAGCAGCAGCAGCAGCAACCTGCTGCTGCTGCTGCTGCTGCTGCTGCTGCTGCGCTGCGCTGCGCTCGCGGCGCAGCCGCTGGTACTGCTTTATAGTTTGCTTCACAGCCACTGACAGCACCAGCACCAGCAGCAGCACCAGCAGCCAAGAAGGCAAACAGTAATTCAAAATAACTCCCAAAGAAACTCCCACTAGCTGCGCGGGAGCCAAAAATATCACCTGCGAGCAGCAGCAGCAGCAGCAGCAGCAGCAGCAGCAGCAGGGTTGGCAGGGGTTGGGTGCACCGCGCAGCAGCAGCAGCAGCAGCAGCAGCAGCAGGGTTCGCAGCAGCAGCAGCAGCACAGCAGCAGCAGCTGCAATGCAGACTAGACATCGTGAGGCGTCAGCAGCAGCAGCAGCAACACTGCGACCAGCAGCAGCAGCACGAGCAGCAGCAGCATGACAAGCAGCAGCAGCAGCTGCACCACCCCTCCAGCTGCTGTAGCACCCCCTGCTGCAGCAGCAGCAGCAGCAGCAATCCCCGTAGCACCCCTAGCACTTCCAGCAGCCGCAGAAACACCAGCAGCACCCCCATAATCCGCAGAAGCAGCAGCAGCAGCAGCAGCAGCAGCAGCAGCAGCAGACCAGGTCAAGGTCCACAAGGGCTCTATCGGCAAAAGAATAATACATCTTGAACAGCAGCAAAAAGCCCCCTCAGCACCCCCAGCAGCAGCAGCAGCAGCAGCAGCAGCACAGCCTCTCCCGCAGCAACCCGGGCACCCCCAGAAGCCCCAAAAACACCAGCAGCACCAGCATCAGCAGCAGCAGCAGCAGCAGCAGCAGCAGCGGACCAGATCGAGGTCGACGAGGGCTCTGTCTGCGAAAGGATGCTTCTTGAACAGCAGCAAAAAGCCCCCTCAGCACCCCCAGCAGCAGCAGCAGCAGCACAGCCTCTCCCGCAGCAACCCGGGCACCCCCAGCAGCCCCGAAAACGCCAGCAGCAGCAGCAGCAGCAGCAGCAGCAGCAGCAGCAGCAGCAGCAGCAGCAGCGGACCAGATCGAGGTCGACGAGGGCTCTGTCTGCGAAAGGATGTTTTTTAAACAGCAGCAAAAGAGTTCCTCCAGCAACTCCGCCGCACATCAGCGCCTGCGACAGCGCCGTGGCTGTGTGCGCCTCGAAGCCCATGACCAGTGCCAAGACTGGCACGTAAATGGAGCCTCCTGAGTGGACCAGTGGTCACCCCACAGGACCACTGTGTTGCGGGCCACTTGCTGCGCTGCTGCAGCAGCAGCTGCTGCTGCTGCTGCTGAAAAAGCGGCAGTTTTTGCTGCTTTTTTGGCCCAAAACGACCCCGCAGCAGCAAAACGCCCAACGCCCAGTTCTTAGCTGCTGCTACTTTTCTACTTTTAGTCTAAACTAACTGCTGCGCTCCAAGCAGCAGCAGCAGCAGCAGCAGCAGCAGCAGCAGCAGCAGCAGCAGCAGCAGCAGCAGCAGCAGCAGCAGCAGCAGCAGCAGCAG